CGGGGGTATTGGGGGGGGGGTGGCCCCCCCCCCCAAATGTCACCAGGGACAGGGACCACTGTGACACTGGGGATGACAGGGACCCTCCCACCCAAACCCCGCCAATGATGGGGATCACCCCAACTCCCCGGAGACCGCAGAGACCCCCACACCCAACAGGGAGCTGATAGGCAAGCCCATGCCCCCACGTGGGGACATCCCGGGGGCTTGGGGACAGGGTGGGGGGATGAAGGCGGTGTCCCCTCACCAGCACTTTGCCGTTGATGCACTGGGCCAACGGGAGCCACTCGAAGACTTCGCTGAAGAGGGCGAACATCTGCGCCGTGTACTTGGCCTTCACCTCCCCCTCGAAACCGTAGATTTGGTTCATGTTGTCCGTCTCGTGGTTCCCTGCAGGGACGCGGTGGCATTGCCCGGCCCGGGGACAAGGGGACAAAACCCCACGGTTCGGCCCCGAGATGGGCAGGGAACGAGGCCCCCGCAATCCAGGATGGGGAGGGGGGACAAGGCACAAGGTCCCAAGGACACAACCCCACGGCTCAACACCGGGACCAGAGATAGGGGACGTGGCCCCGCAACCGGTGACAAGGTGCCAGGATAGGGCCCTGGGACTCGGCAAGGGATATGGGGACACAGGACGTGGCCCCTCCCAGCTAGGGAGAGGGGACCCAGCCCCGTGATGTGGGACAGACGATGCAGCTCCATGAACTGGTCTTAAGCTTTGGGGACAAGGGGACACGGGTGTGGGACAAGGCCCCGCAGCTGGGGACACTAAGGCTCAGGGGACACCCAGGGACCAAGCTGAGGGGACACCGGGGCTCGGGGGACAGCTGGGGGCCCAGGCTGAGGGGACACCAAGGTTTGAGGGACACCAAGGGACCAAGCTGAGGGGACACCAAGGCTCAGAAGACACCAAGGGACCCGGGCTGAGGGGACATCCGGGGCTCCGGGGCCAGCCGGGGACCTGGCTGAGGGGACACCGGGGCTCAGGGGGGAACCTGGGGACCCAGCTGAGGGGACACCAAGGCTCGGGGGACAACAAGGGACCAAGATGAGGGGACGCTCGGGGGACACCAAGGGACATGGGCTGAGGGGACACCAGGGGCTCTGTGGACACCCAGGGACCAGGCCAAGGGGACACCAAGGGACCCAGCTGAGGGGACACCGGGGCTCCAGGGACACCTGGGGACCCAGCTGAGGGGACACCGGGGCTCCAGGGACACCTGGGGACCCAGCCCCATGAACCAGGACAATGTGGCTCCATGAACCGGTCTTACACCCTGGGGACAAGGGGACAGGGGCATGGGACGAGGCCCCACAGCTGGGGACAGGGGACACAACCCAGGCTGGGGGCGGGAGGGTGGGGACAAGGACTCGTCACCCGTGGTGGCCACGTTACCTCGGAGCAGGTGGAAGTGATCAGGGTGGAGGAGCTTGAAGCCGAAGAGCGTGAGGATGACCTCAACTGAGAAGGACCCACGGTCCACAAAGTCCCCGTTGAATATCTGCAGCCGGTTGAGGAAAACAGCTCCCCGTCCCTCTCGTGTCACCCGGCCCCCTCGTGTCACCCGGCCCCACCATGGGGGTGGGATTGATCCCAGTGAGACACACCCCCCCTGCTCAACCCCGTTCCCTCCTCGGGGGATACGTAAGGGTTGGACTCGGAGGGCAACCCATTGAGCTCGAAGATGTTCAGCAAGTCGTAGTACTGTCCATGGGTGTCCCCGCACACCG